CTTGTGGGACACTCTTGTGGGACACTCTTGTAGGAAACTCTTGTGGGACACTCTTATAGGACACTTTGTGGGACACTCTATCTGGGAGCGTTTCGTACGAGACTTCCTCCAAAAGTCACACGACAAGTCTCCAAAACGAGCGTTTCGTACGAGATTTCCTCAAAAAGTCACACGTCAAGTCTCCAAAACGAGCGTTTCGTACGAGACGTCCTCAAAAACTCACACGTCAAAGTCTGCAAAGCGAGTGTTTCGTATGAGACTTCCTCCAAAAGTCAAGCGGAAACACCCATCAGAGCACACACATCATGCAGCCCTGCCAAGCAGTTTCGCGAGTCCAGCCCCTTCAAATAACATTTGCTCACACGCTAATCCCACATTCACCTCTACCACTAAGCTCACCACCTCACGATTGCCTGCGCCTGCCACAAATCTTTCCCCATCCACACGTCTAACGCGCACAAAGTCCTGCGCCTGCCACGAGATTTCACCTCCCTGACACCTCGCAACCTCACGATTCCCTGCGCCTGCCACGAGAATCGCACTTCCACGCCTCAAAACCCGCACGAAGTCCTGCGCCTGCCACGAAAAGTCAGAATATCATCTCATGTGAGCTTCAACAAAATGTGCACCACACCACACGTTTGGAATGATTTCGATCCGTTCTGAGCACACTCCCATCCACCAAAATCGCCATTTCAGCTGAGACTTGTCACGAAAACAGAGCTTCGATGTCACACCCTGAAACGCAAATCCCAATGGCACGGCCACATCCAACACCCCAAAAACACCACTCTCCACACGCTAATCCCAAAGGAACTGCGCAGCAAACTGCGGATCTCACAAAACGCTGCCTGCGCAGTGAAATCATCTTAGTATTGCTCTTTGGAATTTTGGAATTTTTTTTTGCTCTGTGGAAGGGTTGGTGCCATCTTCCTTGAGTGATACCATTCTAGGTGCAAAATCGAGAATTCAAAATAACTTATAAGCTTCCTACTCAAGGGTCTAAGAAAACAGCTGTGGCAAAGTCATTGTGCAAAGCGAGGCATACAACGCCAGCCAACTTCAAGGCATTTGACGGGACTTTGTGAGAATGTGACAATTGAAGGGCAACAGGGGAAAGTTAATTTCCTGTGTCCAAAGAATAATTTTGCAGCACCCGCTCGACAAACAGGCAACCCCCACTCGAGAACACGTTTTCCAAAGTTTGTGTAGAACAGGAAGGCTGCAATAATCAGCCTGGTTGGAGGTTCCCATGCTTGGTTTGGAACCGCTGGCTGGAGCAATCTTCAATTCAATTCAAGAGAAAATATGGTGCGCAGTGCAAGCCAGACTCCCAAGCTTCCCGTTAGTTAGAAAACTTAGAAGTTAAAACTGTAATGTTTTTACAGGTCTTTTTCCGGAAGCCTGAAACATTTAAAGCATTCAATGCACCAATGTAAAGAAAGCCAGACACCCAAAATTGAAGAAGTCTTGATCGCGCTCTTTTTTCATTCTGCGCGAGCTCACTGCATGCATCCTGGCCGATGCAGCCAGAGATGCAACAAAAAGCTTTGCGCCCATGCCAGAGTGCATGTATCTTGGCCGACGCAGCCAAAGATCACGCCAGCGGGTTCCAAACCTCGTCGTTTTCCTCACCCTCTTCCATCTCCACTTCCTGGTCGTCATCATCGACCTCCCCAGCTGAGGCTTCGGTTGCTTCTGTCTTTTTTGTTTGTTTTTTGTGGGTGGCTCATCATCGCCGCCTACTGCAGGCTTCGGCTTGGCCCTAGGCTCAGGCTTCTTAGGTGGCTTTTCTGGCTTCGGTTTCGGCTTTGGCTTATTTGGTTGACCCTTGGCCTTGGATTTGGGTTCGGCTTTGGCTGCAGCAGTCACTTGCTCACCAACCGCAATATGCCCCCAGCCTGAAAAATTGTCCTTCTTGCACTTAGAGGACGACATTCTGTGGGCCCTGGCCGAATCAGCCAGAGGCCCACTTATTTTATCTTTCCTTGAGCAAAAAGCTGCGTCGGACGAGAATCGTGTATCTGAGCCTCCTACAGAGGTGACTAACAGACTACTCCTTACAAGCTTCAAGAACGTTCCCGAGGCTCGGTTGGAGCAGGATAAAAGCAGACTGTCCTAGAATTAGAAAACATGAATGGAATTTTTTCTAGCAGTCTGCTTTTTTCCTGCTCCTTAGGAGGTTCAAGAACGTTCCCGAGGCTCGGTTGGAGCAGGCTAAAAGACCTCTCCTTACAAGCCTGGCGCGCCATTTTTTCCCTTTCCCAAACTTCCTGTCTCAGCCGAAGCAGCCAATGACAGGCTCCTGGTCTGTCCTTGGCAGCTGGCCGAAGCTCCCAGTCAGCCTTGGCTTACTGCGCGTCCTCGGCAAGGACTTCAAGAGCAAAGTTAGGGAACCATTTGCTCACTCCACTCCAAGACAGTGTCAAAAAAGAACCTGGCATGTCTTCAAGCACTCGGACACACGCCAAAGCTGCCTTGAAATCATTCTTAGTGAATTGAGTCAACGGGTCTCTCAAATAGCTCGGCCCACGCGGAGGCAGGCCTGTGACGACGCGAAGCGTAGGGTATTGATGCGGACAAGTATATTTGATTGTGGTGCAAACATCCAGCACATGAACCAAACTTCCGTCTAGCAGGGCTGTTGCTGAATCAGGTAAATGCTGCCATGCCCACAGTAGCGCGTTCCTCAAGCACTCAGCTTCGTCCAGGGCATCGTCCTCCCCAAAGTGGAGGATCAGCAAACGGCGGGTATCTGCAGTAAAGCGACAAAAGGACTTCAACATTTCTGGATCAGGACCAGGGGGAGCCATTGCCATAGAAAGGGCCAGCTTTGGGCCATTTGCAGCAGCCAGCTTGAGAATCTTCAGGGTTCAGCAGAAACTCCTGCCCAACCGCGCCAATTTCAATGTGGCCTTCGCCTCCACATTGCTCATGGCAAAGGATTTGGCCGAAGCAGCCAATGACCTCTGCAGAAAAGCACCTCACCGAAGCAGCCAAAGTACTCAGCAACCCCCACTTGGGAAGGCAAACCCATTTAGAGCCACATGGCGGCGTCAAGATTTGGAAATAAAATTGTCCAAGGCCCAAATATCTTTTCTTCCCTTCCTCGAGAAAACAGTATTGAAAAATCGAGACAATATTCTAGGAGCGTCAATGAAGGTGAAAAGTTAAGGTTGACATGACTACAAGTTTAACTGCTAAGAAGGGACTGTCCTAGCTAGAGCTGAACCTAGTCATGATTTACACAGTCAGACGCGACCCTACAAATCGAGAAGTCTAAATAACTTTTGAGGTGGTAGCAAAACCTTCAAACAGACAAACTTCAACCCCAATTGAAAAAGCAAAAAAAATTCTAAAATTCCAAAGAGCAATACTAAGTCATCCTCCACACTTCAACATCTTACATTTCCACACGATTCCTCGCTATTTCACACGAATCTGACACGTCACGTTTTCATCCGAAACCCTTCCCCCAATGGCAGCGCCTTAGCGCTCTACTGCGGACGGTTGGGAACGGTTGTGGACGGTTGCGAACGGTTGTGGACGTAGAAACAACGGGTCGCGAACAAGGCTCTACCCCCAGACCCCGAGAGTTAAACGAGAACCCTTCGCTACGCATTCGGGAAAAACACAATCTTCTCTTCAAGCCAGTTTCCCGTACATCAATCAGATCTGTCCAACAAGCATGGGGAAGGCGCCTGCTGACATAAAATCATAAATGCTCTCAGAAGGCAAAAAGAAAACAAGTATGGTACAGCCCCACCACTACTCGAAGGATCCAGGGTGACACCCAACGGACCACGGCTGCGCCAAACAGGTGGCTGCGCCAAACAGGTGGCTGCGCCAAACAGGTGGCTGCGCCAGCAAACGTGGACGGAGCTTGGAATCCGACTCGGACAGCACATTGTCTGTGGGTGATGTTCTCCTTTGGGGGTACCCTTGGTTGGTAGGATGACATCTGGAGCTTGTCACGTGTTTGAGGATGTTTGTCATGTTGATTAGGAAGAGGCTTCACCATTGCGAGCATGACAGGGCGCAGGTCATATTTTGTGGGAATACATATCATTATATATCACCCCCCACTGACCTTGCTGGAGCCTAGCAATTGCTTTGACCAATCAATAGCCGATACTCAAAGCACCCAAAAGAAGATAAAAGAAGAGCTGTGAGCAGTCCCACGTGGGTGGCTATCGTTTGGAGAAGCATTCCTGTGATTCAGTGATGCGGCCCTCGAAGCATTCCTGTGATTCAGTGATGCGGCCCTCCTTACCCCAGACTTCACAAGCACTGCTGCACAAGCACTGAGGCTTTGGCGTGGTCAGGTCCTTTGAAGCCTTCCAAAAACAGCTTGACGAGCGCAATCAGCCGATAAGTCAGCATAGTCAGCTTGCACTTAAAATCGGAGCTATGTAGCCATATCATGGTGACTTCTTTTGCCAAAAGTGTCTTCCACACCTCCTCAAGCGCTGGGCTCGAGGTGTTCTAAGCCTGAGTTGGCTTCAAATAGAGCTCGTTTTGTTTTTAGGTTCAGGCTGCGTTGACACCATGGAGTGCTGAAACTTGCACTCCGAAAAGTGCAATCCGCAAAACATCCGACTCGCAAACGCGGTTACCACATGGAACTGCAGATGAGAAATGAGCGCCGGACGGCACCAGCCAAAGCCTCACCTACAACCAGTGGACTGAGGTCTGTTCAATGTCCGAGAAATGAACAACTGTTGATCTCGACATTCAATTCGCTTGCTCTCCCCAACCACAAGAATGACAAGGAGCATGGGCAGTCATTATTCAAACCAAATCCATGTCTGAGAATCATATGTTGCATGCTGATGAGCCAGCCGCTCTGCCTTCATTTTCCAGGCCAAAAACAGACTTCGTGCCTTTCACTTCATGGACAGTCAGCGCGGAACAGCTCTGAATGTTGGAGGTTCCTGGCCAATTCATACGCCAACTCTATCGGATGTCCAGCTATTGATTAGTAAATGTAAATAGTACTAGTATAATGAGTATAATATATATATATATACACCAGATCACGAGATGTATCTTTGCACACACTGGATGTAAATGGCCAAGTTCACCGCTATAGTGGAGAGGACACAAAGGACAGATTTGAGCAAACAAAAAGGTGCGACACCCACTTTGGCACCTGGAACTCACTTGGTCTCTGCGAATCCTGCAGTCCAGCTATCTGCATATTGCAACAAATCAGCGCATTTGGCTTCTTCGGATGTGAAAAATGAAACGCAAACATCTAGGACCATTACCCTTGCACACCCTTGCTAAGCTTCTTCAAAGGGGCTGATGTCTCTGTTCGGCACAGCACTGCCTTTCTTCGCTGGAAGTCGGAAGTCATGGACTGACCCTGAGAACGAGAATACTACACAAACTCGGACTTGTGAAACATCCATCCCCACACGAGTTTGATATCAACGAACACAAGGCGAACACAAGTGAGCTCCCCACGGAAGGAGAACTCCCAAAGGGACGCAAGCTGCGAAACGAACTTGCTGAAGCAGCCTTATTAATCAAAGCCACACCAGGTGGAGATCTTCACAAACAGTGTCAACGGAAAAGTGATAAAAAGGACACACGGAAAGCGAGACACCAAAGAACACTGTAACAATATCACATAGAATGGCTAAATCTGTAATCAGCGGCTCCAAGCTCGACTGGCCACTCCAATCTTCAAAGAACAGAATGCAAAACTGCTCAGTTGCCGAAACTTCTAGACGTAGTCCGACAACTGTTCAGTTCGGTCATCTTTGCCTTTTGGTGCCAGGGTAGTCTTTTACTTTGGTCTAAAATAGATAGAGGACGTCTTGGAAGGGTTCCCTGCCGTTGGCCTTTCCTAGGTTAGCATTGGGCACGTGGCCACATGCCTGGACGCTCAAAAGCTGTAGAAACAGTTGTCAGCAGGTGTTCTGGGCGTTCCCTTGCAAAATTCCCTGCTTTCTCATGCTCGGTTTAAAACAAGTATGCCTTTTGAACCCGTTTGGGTGTTGTTTACACGATATTGCTCTTCCTAACAAAACATTCTGCGCATTTCTGAAGTAGCATTTCCTATAGTACTGCACTCTAAGCTTCCTGCCGCCGAAGTCGTCTTCTAGTTGGTACCTCAGGAGGAATTGTGACTCTGTGCTGAGGCTGCAGGGAGTTTCGCATCAGCTCTAGACATATATATGCAATTGATTGCTACCAGTAGCATCCATGCCATGCAAACATAGAATGACCCGTGCGTTTGTTCAATCTTCGTGCTACACTCAAGCAAAGTGATGTATGTTGACCATGGCCTGGCTGGGACAATGTATCTGATCCTAAGAGCTTACGCGACCCCTTTTTAGTGCCCGTGTTATCAGTGAACTTTCTCAAACGTCACCACTTGGATGTCTCATTCTGAGGTGGACACCGCTCGAGGCAATCACTGCAGCTACCTTTGCAGGGACCGACCTGCAACAAGACTCGCCGGAGCCGTCCAGAAAAGAACACCGAAAGTGTCCGGATCATGTGTTCAGAAACATGGGTTTCCGAATGACAGCTTCCGAATCCGTCTTTGGCCCTGGAAGTACATGGTTTGATGTTGTGGCTTGCTGAGCTTGCCGGTGCTCGTTCTCGCTACCGATTTGATAGGTGCATACCATGTCTACGCCACGAATCAATGCCTCTCAAAAAAGGATCCGATGAGTTCGGTCAAGCTACGTTGCCATCAAATGGGGTCACAACAATGATCTCATGTGACAAGTACTATAGTTAGTGTGGGAAGCTGCGGATTGAGCAGCTTTGTCCTTCCATCTCTACATTCCAGTGCATCTGCGACACACACACACACACACATTCCCAAGTTTGTCAGGCGTCACCAAACGGTGCCATCTACTATATCTTCAAGCCCTGCAGTCCACTACGGGCGACTGCATTGAAGGCAGAAGCTACCAGCGAGCCACTTGCTTTTCGCAAGACACTTTGGGCCGCTGGGGAATCGTTTGGAGTCCAGAGTGAACGAGGTGAACGGTGACTTCATCGAAGCTCGTTGAAACTTTGGTTCCCATGGTGGGAAGACATGAGGTGGAAGACCCCGGAGTGAGGCCACCCGGCATGGAGATTTGACTTGCATCTGCTACTGGGTCTTCGTCAACCAACAGAACTCTCGTTTGACTGGGCACAGAAATATCCCCGGACGTACTTGGCCGATTCGATTCGCCGGTGAAATGCGTACAGACTCTTGGCGCAAGACTCTTAGTCGAGGCCAGCGGACAGCGAACATTCACAAACCGGTGTATGAACAGAACACGTATATTGTCCAGTGTCCATATGTGGGTACACCTATTCATTCAATTGGAGTACTTCACGGTACTTCGTCATCTGCACCATGTCAAATCACAAACGCACACTTGTTGTGCTCAGAAATGAGTTTGTCAGGCCCCTGTAATACTAAAGTCAGGTTGAACTGCTGCTCTCATTGTCCGAATCCGCGCAACTGAACACCCTGTAGTCCAATCCATCACACATCTGCCTCAGCAAATAGGTGGCAAACAGAAGATTCCAAGCGTTGCAGAACTTCGACACTTGTGCATTGTTAAATTGTGATTGCCATGTGATGACAATTTGTGGCAAACCTTTGAGGGGCAAATGCAAGTTGAACCACATAAACGTCGTTCATGCCCCGGGCCTACATTGTAGGGGCAACAGTCTAGTAACCACCCTGGACAGTTCCTGCAGGACACACACACATTCTGGAGAAGGCATGCGAAGATTGATGAGAAGGCCACAGTACGAGTACCACATGATTGGACGCACCCAATCCGTGGTGAGCGCGAACCCTTCACGGCTTCAAAAGTTCATCAACTAACAATCGACCTTTTGCGTCTGTGTTATAGTTTTTCTGCAATCGGTGACACATGTGCCATGGAGTCATGGAAAAAAAACGCATTGTAATTTTCGGCGTGCGCAATAACCTGCAAGTAGGTTGAAAAAATCACCTGTGTGATGCTCTTGCGCAGTGTACTGCGCAGCCGCGAGTACGTAGTGGCAACACAAGCACGGGTGAGCAGGCAGTTGCAACACAGGGCTGTGAGGTGAGTCGTCGGTCGACGAGCCTTGGACAGAATTGTGCAAAATGGTGGTGATGGTGGTGGTCGTGGTGACGGTGGTGATGTTGGTGGGGTGCTGGTGATGGTCGCGATGAAAGTGGTGATGGTTATGTTGGTGGTGGTGTTGATGGTGGTGATGATGTGATGATGGTGGTGATGAAGGTGGTGACTCAGTGGTGATGATGGTGGTGGTAATGGTGACGATGGCGATGGCGGTGGCGTGGTGGTGCGGAGCTCCCACGAAATCTGCACTTCAAGGTTCACAAAGTGCTGTGCCTGCCACGAAATCTGCACGTCAAGGTTCCGCCTGCGACACAATCTGCACTTTGAGGTTCACAAAGTGCCGTACCTGCCGCGAGTCTGCACCTCCAGGTTCACAAAGTGCTGCGCCTGCCACGAAATCTGCACTTCCAGGCTCACAGAGCATAAAACATCATAAAACCACTTTCATGTATGTGTGTCACCGAATAGTCGACTTTGGACCACCAAAACACAAGTTTTCCCTTGCGCCTGTCACAAAAACCTGTCACAAAAAATTATCGCCAAGCCCATCCAAAAGCCCGAAAATGTGCACGGCACCACAACGAGAGCGCAGTCTCGAAGAGCACCCGCTCGCAGCCACCAGATTCTGTGAGCCTGCCCAGTCGAAATGCGCTTCGATTGTTTCGATTGTTTAGAGGTGAATGAAGGTACTGTAGACAGCAACGAATTAGCCACAAACGGATGCGAGCATCTGGATCAAACACCCGTCCTTAACAAGTATATACAAGTACCGTAAGAACCCCTAGTGTGATCATACTGCTTGGGGAAAAAAACAACTGAAACACCTGAAAAGAACCTGTAACATACAAACCCTGGACATCCAAAACCGGATCCAAAGGGTTCTCTGCGGTACAAAATCCCAGGTTTATGGCCATCAATCCAAGCCCAGGCCAGGAAGATCATTAAACATCTGAAGAGCATAAGAAGTCTGCAACTCAGGGGCCAGCAGCTGTCACACTCCTTGTCATCTTGTTGCTTCCGCACCTCTTCCTCGGATAAAATACAGCTGATGCATAGCTGATTTCAGTCTCTTTAGTCACAGTCACTTTGGTCTGGGAATTGCGAGCCTGTTATCATCTGTGATGATAATTTATGGCTCTCCAAATAATAACAAAGGATCAGGCAGGAAGCCATAACCACAAATGCTTGACCAATTTATGGCTCTCCAACTTATACTTTGTTGCTTCACAAAAAAGAACCACAGCAGGCATATCTAAGGGTACCAGTGCAGGATCAAGTTTGCAATCGATTTCCTCATTTGCCACAAACGTGCCAAGGTCTGAACTGCCGTCGTGTCGGGAGTTCTTGCCGAGGAACCCAATCTTGATGAAGGCAAGTAGAATTGCACGAGTACAGAACAAGCAGCACAATGTGAAAGGCGTTCCATACACCAAACAGGATGTAGGCAAACATCATATCAAGAAACTGGACCTTGGGCTGGAGCCATGGGTATCACATGTGGCTCTACAAGATCCTCGTGTCCACAACACTTTACGCTTGCTAGCATTGGGTTTAACTCACACCAGGCGGGGTAAAATCCCATCTCCGACTCTTACAGTTGCAATACCAAGAAGTGGCATCGTATATAGTTGGGAAGCACACTCACGTTGGTTCCATTAACCAAAATGCCATCCAACCCCGAAAGGCCCCGAGTGTACCACAGCACACTTCATCTCCACCCCCCAACAACAAAAGCTAACATGCCACTGGGACAGAACTCTCCAGTACCAGTACTTGAGAGTGTGTCATCAATGAAAAGCCGGGAGGGCATGCGATTGCGTGGATGGTGTGAACAGCTTGCTTTTCATGATGAGAAGAAACCTTAGGACGCTTGCGCCCCTAAAAACAATCGGCGATGATCGAAGCGACAAACTGGGCTTTGAACATTAACTAGACAACTGCGTTTGGTGGGGATACACCCCTGAGACAGCTGGCACCTTGTCATGCGCTGATTCCACTTCTTGAAAGTCTGAGCTTGGACACACAGCCTTCCAAGGATTCTTCGGACGCGAGCAAATTTAATGGAATCATTGACCTCGAATTTGGGATTAACAAACAAACATATGCTCAACAGGCACAGGGTCCCAGCAAGAGTCATCAATTTGCAATCTTCTTTTGTGGTTCATGGTTGTTCTGTGTTCAGCAACAAAAGAACTTGCTTCCAAGACAAACCAATGCAATTGTGTAAGGCTGCTTTTTACACGGGGCCGCTGTATGCTGCAGCCATTATATATTGAATTATATGATATTATGACAAAGTCATGATCATGCGTTCCAGCATTCACATGATGTCGGGCCAACCCAATCGAGTCTTAATGGTCAAAACAGCAATCATAATCACAATAGTTTTCCGGGTATTTCCGGGTCACACTTCCACCATTAGCCATGAGAATGGGACCTTTTGAACCAGCGCCCAAACTCAAAACCACCGACCAGCGCTCCAGTTAGTTCGGTAAGCACAAATTCCTTGAGACGCGAACGAGTTCACTGCACCACACTCTTTGTGTTCACTCTAAGGCCTCTCAAGTGATTAGAGATCGATGGCTTGAATTGGCTTGAGCTTTTGCGTGCTTTTGTAAGGTTGTCAAGTGGTCATGAGTCATGGTTGTGAACAATTGAAACAAGTTGATCCATTTCCCCTCATAACGGACTTCCCCAGCTAACACCACAATGTGGTTGACATCCCCCGATATAGTTGCACACCAAGACACTACCAACAAAACTGGTTGGTGGTGCCAACATAGATGTCCTAAACACATGTGATCGTCTTTTAGACAAAAAACATTCAACGACATAACGTAGATTAACGTAGTAAAAGCACATGAACGTGAAAACTGGGTTCAAGCACGCACCAAACCAGGAAAATATGTCAAAACCAAAGAAGGCCTTGGGAAAAACAAAAAAAACTATCCTAATTTTGAAGCCACCTTTATATCTGTGTCTAGTTTTTAGGGGGTAAACAGCCTTAACTCTCAACCCATACTTCACAACCGGCTCTTCCGCTGTAGGAGTCCTTCAACAAAGAAAGTCACCCAAAAGTTGTTGGCGGCCCCTTTACCTCTGCATCGAGGTGTTCATCTTTCGCCCTCCGGATCACGCTGGTCGTTCAACGCACGACAGCAGGCCTTCAAGATCAGCAGCTCGACAGCTGGAACGATGAGAAAAATGTAGGAAGAAAGCAAGTAGAGATCAAGCCACGTCTGGTAGTCCTAACAAGTTCTTGCTGTTGTGTGGTGTGTTGCGTTCATTCATTGACAGCGGTGTTCGCATGGTAATCCTATATCTAAACCGTTCGATGATTGAAATTCGATAGTTGTACAATGTTTTTGGATGTGCCTTTGGAACTGATTGGATGCCCGTGAGTTGAATATGCCAACCTGAACTCGCATATTTTGAGTGGGACAAACACAACGACAACAAACACATCGTGGCAGCCAGTCGGTTGGTCGACGAATCCTTCCCAGGAAGTTGATCGTTAATCACGTATTTCAATGCCATAATCGTCAGGACGAACGTGATGATGATGGAGATACGATCTCCTTAGCTGTGCGCAGCAGTCGTCATGTTATTGCTGAAAAGGAAGGGTCGACCCACAATCCCAACAGCCAACGGGCCTTTCAATGCAGCACGCATCCCGGCCCATTGGCAAGCATCAATTTCATACACATCCAAGGTTCCCTGCACCTTGTCTTTTACCCACGGCTTGCTATCTAATTAGGTTTCTGACAGCACCTTCCCAAGTGAAAAGCGGGACCAAAGATTTAGCCAAGAATCCCGGGCTATCGACGTCAATCATAAAGGTGCCGAAAGAAGCAAATATGAGGAGATAGAGCATCACAACAATGTTGACAAAGTATTTGCCTGGCTTCCGCTCAAGGTGAACAGTTGCCTTGAGCTGTGAGTACTCTTTGCCAGCAGCATTTCCAGTCGTCTTTTTCTTTGTCAAAGTGCTCTCCTTCTGCTGTTCCTCAAAAACACAGATTGCAAACGAGAGCCATATCCATTATGGGCGACCTGCTTCCAATTGTCCTTTGGTGTGTATTGAAATGGACGCTAAGACCCTAAGCAAGCAAAAACACCATTGACAAAACCATTCCTAGTACTTGCAGCCCTAGTCGGCTCCTTGTCAACGACATATTCTGCAATTTGGTCGACGCGGCAGATTGATTTGAACTTCTCGTCGACCTCAGGGCTTAAAATCTACCTCGATTCACAAGTATCTTCTGTCCAAGCAAATACTCTTAGACTACACCATCACAGACCCAGAGAGCGAGATGAAACCAATTGTCTCCGTTCAATCACTGCTTTCATTGGCAGGGGACAGCTACAAAGTTGACAAGGCGTCAGCATAACAAGGCCACCTGCACCGGCGCCCAGTCTCCGAAGTGTGCACAGCCCATTCTTCCAACACGCCCTTTGTTTCATTTGTCTTGCTTCTTTTTGTGAAATCTTCTTTTTCCAGCTCCCCAGTTTCCATAATATTCAACGCTTCTGCAGTTGATTTTTGCAAAGCTCGGGAGACGTCGGCGTCCAGATCTGCTAGTTAGACTTTAGAGCGCTCAACCTACAAATCTTCGCACTTGGGACTTGTGCTCTTGGACTTACCAGTACAGCGCTCGCGGCTCTTACAGCACGTGGACTTTGGCAAACTACCAGACTTCGAAGGTTCTTTGCAGGCTTGGATTTGGCCTGGCTTGTGGTTTGTCTTGGCCGTGAGCTCAAAAATGCTGGAGAAGCTGAGGTGTCTGTGTGCAGTATCTTCCCCAAAGCAAGGGCAAAGGAAGAGCTTACCTGCCATGACACCCACAGCTACCTCGACTACTTCAGCACTTTAGCAAAGAACACCATAGCTGACACTTTGTGGGAAAAAACACAGACTGCTACGGATTCCGATCAACGCTCATCAACGTGCACCATTTCATCCCACCTCTAAGACCATGATGGAAGAAGGCACGCTTGCTGTGATGGCGAATTGGAGCAGCTGGCGATCCAACGGAAAATGCTTGAGCTCCATATTCTCCTCACAGTCTCTCTGTCTCGCAATAAGGCCCACAAGTGGGACAAACATGAGTCATTTGTGACAAATCCATGCCATTCATTGGTATCTGACCCAATAAATCATAGTCACTCCATGGCATAAGCGTTTTTGGCAAGGTCGTAATGTCCGACCAACACGTTGAGAACTATATAATCGAAAATTGACTGTATTTGTGTATGTATAGTATACTGTATAGTGTATAATATCATTATCCTGCATACATTGCCATGTCAAGAAATCGACCCAAAAAACCCAACAACACCTCCCTTTGTTGCGTCATGCTCCGGATCTCCCTGTCCTTGAAGGTAGCACGCATCTTGCGGAATAGGATCACCTCCCCCACAGTTCCATTGGTCAACCGCTGGTGCTCGGTGAGCACAAGAGGTTCCTGTCCATTAAAGGGGATCCAAACATCGACATTCGACAGTGCAAAGCATCCAGGCCGGGAGACATCTAGCCAGTTCATATATATCAATATCCTTTTTGTTTACTGTGAAATAATAGGAACTTAACCCCTTCATTGGAGAGGTTCCATACTGGGATTGGCCCCTAATGCTAGGAAAGAGCACCCTGAAACAGGAGAGTCTCAAGACTGGAAGACAAACACAACTCCAATAACTATACTGGTTTCAGAGGTTTGATGGCACTGGCACCCAAAGATGTCTTGAAAAAACTGGGGCCCATATAAACCACCATGAGGATTGTGCCATCTACTGTGAAACCACTGTAAGTGGCTTGAGCAAAATGAATTCAACAACCCCTTCCTCCATAAGCTTGCTAAAACTCACGAGGCTGCTCTTCTCACCAAAGACATTGCCGAAATCTTCAAAGTTTGGCCTCGAATGGACACGCCTTTGCATGGAAAGTCCCCTGGAATGACGGATCCACAAAAAACATGATACAACAAATGTTTGTGGTTCGCTGTCTCTTTTTGCTGCGAGAGGCCTGAGGCTGTCAGT